GAGAGCGGGGGTGCCTGTGCTGGGAGCCGCCTGCGTCCCCGCGCCGCGGTGCGGCGGCTCCGGGACCTTCTTGCGGCTGGCGTGGGCTGGGGCTCGTGTGCCAGCGTGGGCACCCGCGGCTCGTCTGCCTGGGGTAACGAGCCTGTGTTGGCTGCCGTGGCGCGGGCGTTTTTCTGCTCTCGGTTCCCCGAGTAGTTCCTCGGTGTCCGCGCCGAGGGCCTTGAAACTGTAAGCCTGGCGGCTGCTGTTGCAGCGGAGAGCTCTTTCGGGACCGTGTCTGCCGAGCGGTGGGTTTGCAGCGGTGTTATCTGTAGCGAGCATCGTTACCCTCTTCTGCGGCTGCCTAACACATCGTTTCTTTCCTCTGACGCACCTGCTCAAACGTTTCTGGCTCTGGATTTGTGAGAGGAGCGGGATGGAGGTGGATGCGACGTACGCTAGTTTGCCTACAGCTGCTTATTAGGTTGCTTGAATAGAAGAGGATGAGGCAGATGCTAAACCTGCAGAAGTGAAGAAGTGCCTGTCCCTTAATCCTCTCATCATTTTCTAAAACGGATGAGAAGAATGTTTAACTAAAGTCACTTAAAAATAGGGTTTGAATGAGGAAGTGAGGGAGGGGGGATTGCAGCTGAGGGTACAAGATTCTTCTTGCCAAAGCAGCATTTGGTTTGTGTGTTTGTAGGGCCGTTCAGTGATGGAGTGTCCTGCCGTAAGCTTATCCGTTTAACTGTGTTTTGCTCACCACGCCCTAGTGGAAAGGACTGGCAATCTCGATGCTATGGCTTTTCTCTTTCTTGTGGTCTTTTTGTTATCCTGCAGAGGTCTGTTTCCATTAATAAAAATTCTGCTCAGTTACTTATTTTGTGATCTCTGTTAGCAAAAATTTGTGCAACTGGAAACGATGAGTCACCAGATCTTCATTTAGTGATTCCTGGCCTTATGGTCAGCCAGCCACTCCCTCTGCTGCTGTAGATCTGACAACAGCTTCCGTGGTTGCAGTGCAGTTATCTTCACAAATATCTTGATATACCCTGTGGTAAGAGTATATAGATCACTTTTAACCCATAGAACGCATTCTTAGCAAGGATAACTTTTTGTAATCATTCAGCCTTCAGTTCTTCCCTTTTTTCCTGCCCACCAGCTGATAACTTCTGAGTAAGGAACTAAAACAGCTATCTGAATTAGTGGGTGTGCTGTTTCTTTCCAGGCTAAATCCCATGAGGCTTTTGCACTAATTGACCATGAATAACAAATTGCCTTCCACAAGGCTAACACTGTGTTAAAAGTATTTGTCAAAATTAAATTACATTCTGTTCCAATAGACTCAGATCTGGTGTGTGGCTTCGAAAAGTTATGGTTATGCACATTTGGGGAAGGAGTGTGTTAATCTCATTTATTGAACAGCTGTGGTAGTTTTCGCTTGACATCTGATGACCCAGAAATTATTTGCAAAGATGGGAGAAAACATTTATCTTTCCACACAGGTGGAGAAGCTGACTTGCACAGATGATGTTTTGAACTCCACTCTCCTCCTGCCTTCCTGATCATGTTACTGACATACGTTAGTGTTGAAGTTGGGACTGAGCCTAAGTTTTTGAATTCCCATTTTCAACTGCAATTTTGCTAGACCACAGCTGCGCTTTTTTTGGTCTGTTTTAGGTAGTCACATCTGTAAATGAAACTAGTTTATTTTAACATATTAGTGTCTTATTTGAAGCATCATCTGCTGCAGATACAGTTTGCATCTTCACCAGGTCTCAATTCACCTGTTGCAATTCTCAGTAGGGAGTTTATTTGCTGCTCTCTCACTTCCTTTAGCAACTCCACTCCTTCCCCCCTGTTCTATGACTCAATAACAAAAGTTCTTCCTGGAGCTGCAGTAATCTGGTGGATCTGCAGGAATTAAGGAATAATATTCCTGTAAACTTCAGTTTCTTCAAAAGCAATCTGTGTGGAGGTCTTTCAGTATTTTCAAATAAAAGTGAAAAATGCAATGTGTATGTGGGTATGGCATGGTGTGCCTTCAAGCTGTACCTAGTGTTGATATATTTTAAACCTGTACAGCAGCATTTTAAGAAGAGAGAGTTTATGCTGTCCCTTTTTTTTAAATTTTACTCTTGCCACAGTTTTAGTAATAATAATGTAGGACTTTTTTCTTTTCTTTTTCTTCTTATAGCTTCCTGAGAACTGTCACACTGGTGGAAATGTGCTTCTAAAAGACTGGTCAGGTCCCTTTAAAGTGAAATGAAAGTGAAAGTTAACCAGGCAGGAGTTTGAGCTCTTTCAAAAATTAGTGCATTGTGTGCAATCTTGAGTATTTGCTGCTTTTTTCTCTCTCTCCCCTCTGTTAAAGCATTGAATAATAAATTACAGAGTTGGAGAGGATTTTTATAATTAGTTGTTCAGTGTATTCTCCTGTCCTAGGTTAGGACCAAGTCTGCTTACACAGGTGACTTTGTAGGCTGTTGTAGTGCTCTAACCTCGCAAACAGAGGACTGTCCCTGGGAACAGGCACTAGAAACGAAGGCACGGGCCTCTAGCTGAGCATGATCCCGGCAGGCTCTGCACTTGTGCTCTGTGAGTGACCCATCTTCAATCCCATAGACCCACCAAGCGCCTGAGGCGTACGGCGCTGGGCTGGGGAGGTGATGTCGTCCTTCCATCTTGTCTGCACAGCTGTAGTTGCAGCAGTGTGGTCTCTTCTGTGCTTTCCTGGGCTGGTGTGACCGCTCGGTCTCTCCTGGCTAGGCAGACTGTGTGTGGTGTTGGGGATGGAGAGGGTGCTGTGGTGTGGGGGCGTAACCTGCTCCCGTCTTCTGGGGCTTTAACCTCGGGGGTGAAGCTTATCCCTGCAGCAGGCTACATGACTGTCCTGGTTTCAGCTGGGATGTAGTTAACTGTCTTCCTAGTAGCTGGTACAGTGCTATGTTTTGAGTTCAGTATGCGAAGAATGTTGATAACACTGATGTTTTCAGTTGTTGCTCAGTAGTGTTTAGACTAGAGTCAAGGATTTTTCAGCTTCTCTTGCCCAACCAGAGCACAAGAAGTGGGCACAGGACAGAACCAGGGCACCTGACCCAAACTGGCCAACGGTGTATCCCATACCATGTGACGTCCCATCTAATATAGGAACTGGGAAGTGGGGGCGGGGAATTGCCGCTCGGGGACTGGCGGGTTGTCGGTCGGCGGGTGGTGAGCAATTGCCCTGCGCATCATTTGTACATTCCAATCCTTTTATTACTACTGTTGTCATTTTATTAGTGTTATCATTATCATTATTAGTTTCTTCTTTTCTGTTCTATTAAACCGTTCTTATCTCAACCCAGGAGTTTTACTTCTTTTCCGGATTTTTTCCCCCATCCCACTGGGTGGGGGGGGAGTGAGTGAGCGGCTGCGTGGTGCTTAGTTGCTGGCTGGGGTTAAACCACGACAATGACCATGTGTTCATCTGCCTCCAAGTGCTGTGATGTAAAAGGCCCAAAGCAGTGGTGCACGTTAGGTGATGTGGTTGAGGGGCCTGTCTGCACCTGCACGCACCGAGGAGCACAGAGGCACAACGGTGGGTGGGGAACCGGGGTGATGCCCTGACCCAGCTACTACCAGGCCCATCACAGGAGAGCAGCCAACTTGTGAAGGCTTGTCTCTACATGCATGCACGCAAAGGAGCACAGAGACGCTGGCAGGTGGGGGAGCCCCAATAACCCACTCCCAGAAATGAGCCCCAGCCTTCCCAGAGCTGTCTAGGGGAGCCATTGCCCCGTGGGCCAGGGGTGACCCCTGTCTGCACACATCAGTGGGGGGCTGGCTCCCGTTGCAGGCCAGGGCGGGGGCACGGGATGCAGGGGTTGAGCGTGTGGGGTTGTGAGATGTTAAGGGGAGGAACCAAAGGCAGGGATCGAGGCCATTTGGGGAGGAACAAATGCGGGGAAAATAAAAGGATAAAGGGTTAAAAAGGACTGACCCTGCGTAAACAGGTCTGCTGTGTGTGTACCCTTGTCTGGCTGTGTCTTGCGACCCGTCAGCGGAGTCTGTCCCGTGTCCTCGTTAAACTCCTCCATGGCTGCCTTCCTGGGGAAGGGACGCTGTTCTGCACGCACGTATCTGCGTGGAGGTGTAAGCACCAGTACCTGGAGCCAGATGGTGGGTCGGAGGGCCTGTGTGTCTGTGGTGCCAGCACTCAGCATGAGTGTGTGATGGCTAGCAAAGATCAAGACGGACTAGCCAGGAAGTAGGCGAGGTGGCCTGGGAGGCAGGCGTACGTGCATCTCTGAGGGTGAGACCACCGAAGGCACTGGCCGCTGGAGGGGCCACGGGTCCTGGCCAGTTGCCAGAGAGACAGTGGAGTCTGTGGTCAAGTGTGAGACCCCCAGTTACTCGGGGGTCCACAGCACACATGATGGTGTATGAAGGGGTCTGTGCAACAGCGGCTTCTACATCCAGATGCCAGCAACTGGGGAGACTGGAGTCTGGGGATAGCTGCTGCGAAGACTAAGCCAGCTACTGCTGGATCCACCTTGTACACATGCATGTATGTGTATTTCCCAATAATGGACCTTCATCCTTATCAGTCAGGGAGGGGAGCAGGATGAGGCCATCGATACTGTTTTTGTGAGCATCTGTCTGTGTTGATCAGTGTGGCCAGCCACACGTATATTTGGGCACGCTTTGTGTATGCGTGTCCATGTACATGCCTGCTCAGCCTTGCTAATGGTTGGACCTGGGGACGTGGAGCTGTGACAGCCTTGTTTCTGTCGAGCTGCGGGGTTTGGTAACCCTCTGCCGGTATGCCAAGTGCCTCAATGTAGGAGTAACGTCAGGTATTCATAAAGCAAATTTGTCTGTTACACTGGCTGGTGTTTTTTTAATACTTCCTCCTCCTGCTCATATCGGTACAAAAAACCACATTTTTTGGGTGGTTAGATTGTCATGTCATGCTACCATCTTCCTTCTCACCAAAATAACTTTCTCTTGTTATACACACGTGTCTTAACACTCTTTCTGTATTGCTGCAGTTGGGTTGGCTTGTGACATACCCAGTACGGTTTATCTATGCCACCTTCCTGAGGCTGTTCAAGAATCCCCATCCTGCGATTACTCTGAAGGATCCTGAACTGAAGTATGCGTTGAGGCTGATTGATAAGGAGGTAAGTGCATGTACAGTGCTGAGCATGATTTCTCCATGGATACTGTGAAATACTTATGGCATCTTAAATCTTGGGTAATGTTGCAGCAGGGCAAATACTTGTATTTTAAGGAAAGGACTTCTTTCTAAATGTTCCTTGCCTAGTATAACTGGGTTCTGCAAGCAGTTTGTTTCCAAGCAAGTTAGAGAGGAGAACGCTGCTTTAGAAATGACCAAACTCATAGTTTCTGTCAGGTGTGTCTCATGTCATGGAGTACATCAGCAGAAATTCCTAAACTCTGCACTACTAGATTGGCTATAAGACAGAAGTCATGCTGTCAGGCAGAGCAGGCAGTTTTTTCATGGTCAGTAGCATTCAGCATAGTAGTTGTCAGAACTATGTTGGTACTGATTCATGTTATTGGAATTTGTACTCTAATGTGTTACAGGAAGAAAGGTGTTTAGATGGTGTAGTCCTGACAGCACCTGAGCTGTCTCAGCTTCTTTTTCTCTGTTAAAAGTAGAAGCTGTTCTGTACCTCCTGGGCTGCTCAACTGGGTTTTTAGAGGAAAGCCATGACCCTTTCAGGAGTTGATCTTGCTATCAGGAGTTGGTAACTCAACTTGCAGGAAGGGGACCAAAGCCATGAAAGGTGAAAAGTCCGGATTTCCCTTGGATAAACTCACCATCAAATGCATGAGAGAGAAATCTTTGCTTTTCAAGATATATTTAGTGTTGACTTTTTAAGTCAATGAGCTAGTCAGAGAGTTATCAGAAGAATTTCAATGAAAAGCACTTTGGACTGGCACAGAGCTTTGTTTGAGGTATAGGGAGTGCACTGATAGCTTGGCTTTCATTTGTTCTGTCTAAGAAAATGGTTACTGTCATTCCGAGTCCTAGTTTCGTGGGAACTGAAAGCTTCCTCATGGCTTGGGCTGGGTGGCATTACTGAGTTTATTTCCTGTGTGTACTTACTGAATTTATTTCCCATATCTACTGCAACAATGCTATTATTATATACTCCCGACTTTTGCGTGAGACCTGTAGCACGTGGTGGCAGGTACAGTCTGCCTGAGCTGCAGGAGGGGAGGGAAGCTTGAGGCAGTGCACATGCTTCTGAGAACCAAGCTACTTGCAGGTTTCTGCTAGTTTGTAGCAGAAGAGAGTTCACAGTTCACTTGATTTTTTTTTGGCTAAATACTGATTTTCTTCTCACTCTTTTTATTTTTTACATGCTTTTTTAACCTTGGGATGGAGGAACAGCTCTTACATAACCAGGTCAAATGCTGCTGCAAGGGGTACCTTGATCAACTGAGAATATTGACTGATGGATGTTTGTAATTTTTTGCCTAAATGGGAAATGTGTCCTGGAAACAGAAGTTAATTTTGAAAAAAATAATTTGGTACAGTAAGTGCTAGTAGTTTCTAACATCCTGCCAAAAATCTGGTGCAAACACTCTGATCTTTGGTATTAAACTTCTCAACATTGCCATATCCACCTGTCTGTGAAAGATGAAATTAGTCAGAGTCTTTCTGACATGCTTCAGTTTGTATTTTACAAGCTATTAAATTTGAAGTAGATGAGAACTGTAATCTAAACCCACCTGTCATTACACAAGAATGTTTTAACTTGGGAGGAGAATTGTGCTCTCGGTGTGGTTGTGGACCCTACTCAAGACATCTGTGTGGTTGGCTAGAGTTTACCTTCCATTGCAAGAGGAATTTCAGTACGCTGGTTTTGCCTTTACCTAGTGCCCAGCCTAGCTAAAGACCCTCATATTTTAAAAGTTTCTGTTATTCCTATTACCATGTTGGTATTTATTCCCTTTTTGTGACTATGAAGCTGCTGGTACCTTCACTGGCAGAGCACCAAAATGTTTTGTGTTTAAAACAAAAAAGGAACAAATGAACTCCCTGTTGTGGGGGTTGTAGTTTTTAACCTGATGTATTTTGATGATATAGTCGAGAGTATGGCCTTACAGAAAGTTTTCTTAGTGGACTGTGGCCCAAGCAAAGGAGCAAGAAGCTTGACCAGGAAGGGAGGTGGCAGGAACTGCTTAGACTGATTTCACAGCTCAAGAAAATGGGCTGGTGGTGGCAACGGAAGACCGAGTTGCATGTACTGGGCTGCCATACAGCAATACACGTATGTGAAATCTCAGAAGGATTCCACAGTTACGTAGCAACAGTGTTTAGGTGTCTGCAGTCTAAAGTTTGAAAAGCACTGGTCTAGAGAATGCCTAGTTTGACATATAAGTATCTGTTAACACAGCTTAGATTTTTGCGTATGAGAGCTGGAAATCGAACATACCATGTTGTCGACCTGTTGCGAGCAGAAGCCTTTCTTCCTCTACCCGCTGTCTGCCTTTTACCCACCAGCTGAAATGTTAACATCTGCCCAAATTGGGTATGCCATACCTCCCGTCTGTTGAATGGAGAAATAGGGGTCACAAGGCTGCTTTCTAGTGTTTTATCATAGGAAAAAACTGTCATAATATGGTTAGGTGTGCTAATTTATTTTATGCCTTAAAAAAGCCGACAACCTCAGGGTTTTTTTTTGTGGTGGTAAGCATAATTCATTTGTTGCCTTTCAGTGGCTTCAGCAAAGCACCAGCCTGCAAAAACTGTTCTCCAGCTTTGCATTTGCAGTTGCGAGCGTGGAAGACTCCACAGCACCTGCTACTTGAGACAGAAATACGTGCTGGTATCTGGAGGCCAAGGGCTTAGGCTGCTGCCAGATGATGGCATTGGGGAATGCTGTGGAGATGCCCCCATACTGGAAGTGGCTTCTTTGTCCTGTTTTAAGGCTGTCTTTAATCTGGCCTTGACTAACGACTTGCTGAATGGCATGGTCAGTGTCTTGGCCACTTGGCCAAGCTATCTCAACTTTAATTCATGAGATGATTAACTGGGAATTTGTTCTTTCTGCATGCTGTTAAAGACAGCATTTTAAAAGATTATTGGCAAAATTGAGCTTTGAAGTAGTGAAGCTTGTGCTGAAATTTCCATACAGAAACAGCAGCGGTCAGTGTGAGAGTAACAGCGTTAAGTCCACATTAGCTGTCATTCTAGTGGAATTTTCAATGGCAGTTACTGTTCCTGAATAGACATAAGTACAGAGAAGCCCTTTTTAGACTGCTACTCGATTCCCTTCTTTCTTCTGCATTTACCTTAAAATGATTTATTGTGAAGAAAATTTCATCGGTGTGACCAGAACTCATAAGGGAAGACTAGAACTGTGATGAGAAATGAAGACAGATTCCTTGGTTACTTTAAAAACAAAAAACCAAACAAAAAAAGGGTTACAATATTTTATAGGATGTTTATGAATTTTTCTCTAGAAGGGATGTTATGTCCCATAGGGCTTTAAAAAAAGAAAGTCATTGGATGAGGCATTAGGCTGTATGATGTTTCTGTCTTTTTTTGCTGTCTTTTCAGTCCCATGAATGTGACCTGATTTTTAAGAGATAAAAATTGCATAGTATAAGAAATAACATTTTATTTACTCATTACAAACATTTTATTCAAGATATGACTTTCCTAGTAAAAGATCAGAATAATTATCCCAGCTGGACTCCGTAATACTTTTATAATGAAGTTCTTATCTAGATAGAGTGTTCTTTTCAATTTTAGTTAAGAATTAATTCAATTTTTACAGAGAAAATATTTTTAAGGCTCTTAGCATAGCAAAGGGGACCAGGTTGCTACTTCCTGATTTTCTTGACATCCACTAGTGTCTTCTGAAATCATCTACATTGAAATGGTTAATTCGTTTGATTTTGAGACTTCAAAATCAAAATTTTTGGCCTTGAACTCCTGCATATTTAAACTTTAAATGAGAACTGAAGAACTGATTAATTTTTATCTTGTGGCCTTCTCACAGAAGGCAATGTAAATGTTCATACTACTGAGAAAGTTATTGTTTAGTCTTAATCTGTATGTAAGTATTTTATCAGGTTTTGCTATTCACATTTAAATATACATCAAAACCATATTTGCATTTGTCTTTTATTTCTATTTCTTCTTCTGTATTACTTCTCAAAATATTTTGAGATAAATTTAAGTTTTCAGGGAGTTTGAATGAAAAGTTGACCTCTGCTGGATTGCTGTTTTCAGAGGAGTTCATATTTGCATTATGCAAAAATCTCAGTTAGGATGCTGCTCTTCCCAAAATATTTAATCCTGCAGGAAGCCAGACTAGCGTATCGGTGTTACAAGTGAAATCACAAACATTAAATCCCAACAACATAGCTGATTGATTGTTCTTTTTATTTTCCTCTTTCAGGAAGTTAGTCATGACACAAGAAGATTTCGATTTGCTCTCCCTTCCATAGATCACATTCTGGGTCTGCCTGTAGGTACGTTCTGACTTTCCTTACTGAGATGTGTTGTTAAGTATACTATAAGAGATTTTGTGGGGATTTTTTTCCTACATTTTGAACTGTTGAATTTCAAATACTGTCCACATGGCTTGAGCCAGTATTTAGAGCTTTGCAAGATTATTCTCATGCTGTGAGTCATCTGCAGGATCTGAAATCTTGTGTACTTACAGAGTGTACATCCAGCTTGTTTCTGTAAAGACAGTAGACTGGTCTTTACTTGTATTTTTCCAGTCTTGACTTTCCAGTGTGTGTTATTCCTGTGGTGCTTGGTCTCTGTGGTCCCTTTCCATCCCCTGAGGCAGTGCGCTCAGCTGCTCCTCCTCTAACACATGCGGTTTACCAGATGATCTGCTCACTTCTGAATTTGCAGCCAGTCTCATGGAACTTCTTAATCACCATGGGGTAGATGTTTCCTTAGGCCTTGCCATGTGGCGTGTTGCCTTCCATAATAGCTTAGTGCTATTGTTTCCTACTGCTTATATAAAAAGCATTTAATTGTGGCTTGTGTTTAATAGGGACTTCTGCCTTAAGAACCTGTTGCAGTGATCTGTGGATCAAGTGCTTCGCGGTAGTCCTCAGCACCTTTCCAGCATTACAGTCCATCGTGTTTAGATTCCCTCTTGTTTGGGATATATTATTCTCTTGATCCTGTTAAGTAGTCATGAGGGCAAAGCTAGTTTCCCTCCCTTGCCCATAATGAACATTGAGGAGTGAGCTGTCTCACATCTGTCATTGTTCTTGTCCTACACGCCAACAGAAAAGGAGCCGTCTGGGGGGAATTTGGCCGGCTGGATGCCACGGCTTCCTCCAGTGTTTTAGTAAAAAGTCAGGGCAAATCAGCCAGTTGTTTCAGCGTAGCCCGAGGAGGTGCGTGCCTGCCCCGCACAGTCCCGGGAGCAGCGCAGTCGTGATCTCGAAGGTGCTCTGCACGGGCTAATCTGGGGGTGACTGAGGGAGTGGTTTACTGGGCAGACTGGGGAAGCAAAGATGGCTGAAGGCTGGTGAGGGTGGTAGCAGCAGCTGGGAGCAGCAGGCTTGGCAGCCGTGGGACAGATACTGGCCTGGATGTTTAGTCCAGCCCCAGCATTTCGCTTTTACCACCAGCTGGAGCGTTACAGGAAAGAACGCGATTCACTCTGAGGGAGAGTGCGATTGTGTATGGCCCCATGCAGAGGCTGCCAGCTGCTGTCCTGTCAGTGTGGATGTCCTCCTTTCAGCTGGCGTAGAGTTTTACTTTTTTTCCTGATTCTCTCCCCCATCCCACTGGGTGGGGGGGAACTGACTGAGCAGCTGCGTGGTGCTTAGTTGCTGGCTGGGGTTAAACCACAACAGTAAAAGCGTAAGGCATGTTTTCCCTTTGGGAGGAGCACCTTCTTTGAATTTGTACTAAGTCGTGACGCATGCCCCAGCAGCGGTCCTGTCCGCCCAGTTTCAGTCTGCAGTGGTCCCCATGGGCCCGTTCCAAGGCCACCCCTTGGCTGGAGGAGGAATGAGAGGCTGCTCCTGCAGCTCCCCTGAGGTCTTCCCTAGCAGCAAACGTGTGCTGCCAGATGTGTATAGGCTTTGCTGAGAGGGTTATCTGAATCACCCTTGCATTATGTCCGTGTACAGCTTCAAGTGAGGTATGGTTGCTCATTTCCCAAGTCACCAGGTAGCACATCCTCATTCACCTACTGGTTTGCCTCACTGGCCCTCCAGCTTGGCAAACCAGCTCCCAGTAAAACCTCCTCTTTGTGTTCCCGTAACAGGCAGAGGAGCTGCACCATCTTTGGAGAGCTGCATTCATCTTAAGAGATAGTTTGTTCTGTTGACCTAGTGGTGATAAAATAACAAAACCCAAATCTCCCCCCAGGTATTCTTCATTTGGGTCTCTTCAGGGTGTTGGAATTTTATAGGAAAACCTTTCAAAGATGTTAATTTTAGTTTTTTTTCATCAGAAACATAGACATTGAGAAAAGAAACTATTGTAGAGTTCAGTGAATGTGTGACATTGAAACGTGATCGCTACATTCAAATGTTAAGCTGGAGGAATAGCAGGGTTAGAAAAGTGCTTTATGTCTAGGCAGCCTTAGCAATGGCAGCTAGATGGCTTCCTGGTAGACATGAACGATCTGTGGTCAAAGTAAGAACAGTTGTAAACACAGCTGTAACTAAACTGTAACAGTTTATAACTAACAGGTTAATAAAGAAGTGTGAACAGCACTTGATGGTTCTCCTCTTTGTTCTTTTTACGTGTCTGTATGGGAGAGACATATCACATCTTTTGCAAGATCTCACGTACAGTTAGGGCTTTGGTAAATGTAAATGCATGAAGCTATCAGAACAGATATGACTGACATATAAAATTAGCACTGGAGTTGTCTGCCCCTCCAGGTTGAATCTGTGCATGGTTAACAACTCTGCCAATGCGTTACAAGGACAGGAAAACAAGAGAGGAAAAAGTGGTGCCCCCAAAAAAGGTGGTTAGGAGAACTTTGAGACTCCATTTGCAGTCCGTGCCAACTCAGTACAACTCCACTGAAAGAAAAATCTTCTGAAAGCAGACTGCTTTTTTTCTTCCCTGTGTACAGGACAGCATATCTACCTGTCTGCACGGATTGATGGAGCTCTGGTTGTCAGACCTTACACTCCAGTTTCCAGTGATCGTGACAAGGGCTTTGTGGACCTTGTTGTCAAGGTGAGAATGTCATGCTCCTTTACCAGGCTGGGCAACTTCTGAGCCCACCGTTACACTTGCAGTGCTATGTGTAGTCTGATGTGCTGCCTTCTGTTCAAGTATGTGCCACTGTGGAGTTCCACTGTTGTAACAAGTGATCTGCAATTACCTACAATCCATATGGCATTTGCAAGCACTTCTTTAGTGAGTGTGTCTCATGAGATGCTGCATGATTTTCTGTATTTGCATACTGCAGTTTTCCAAAATCTGTGCAGACCTGCAGATGTTCACGCACTTTTTTAATCCTTCTGAAATAAGGAATTAACCTTGCCTGAACTGTCAGCTTCTTCTGAAGCTAATGTAATACGGTCATTATGATTGTTAAGAGCAGTGATCATTATCATTACTGATCCAGACAGTGTGAATGACTGATTTAATTGGCAAGAATATGATTGAATCTTGTGATAATGTCCTTTTGTTTTATCTCTTGGTAGCTAGACTAAGCAAATATATTTAAAGCTGACAGGAATTTAAAACCTGAATATCTGCACTGGATTTCCTCTTAGAATTTTAATCTTAAGTTTTTTTCTTCTTCACAACTAATAACACTTTATTTGTTTATTGTGAAACTAGACATGAATTTGCCTTTTACTACCTACTTACCTTCATGAGTATGGCGTTGCACACAGAAGACATGACAAGGGAAAAATTTAAATATTTGACTCAGAAATGTTTCACAAGACTCCTTCTTCCCATTGTGGCTCTCCATGTATGCAAATGGTGCTGTTCTTGTAAAAGTGTAGCTAGTCTCAGCTTGAAGTCTTTAACACCCATGTGATTTAAAACAAACCCCAGCACAGTTCCAGCAATGTAACTACACCCACTGATACCTGTTGGTGAACAGTTGAATATTCAATTAGTTGGTATCCACTTTTTTGGTTACTGTAACTTTGAGGTGCAAACAGTCGGCATCCCAAGAAGGTGGTTTGGGTATATCCCTTTGCAACTGAGCTGTCAGGGATCTTTCTCAGAAGTTTTTCTGTTTGAAATCACAGTGCTGGGTTGTTTGGGTTTTTTCTGCCTTTGTTTTTTTTCCCCTTTTGAACTTGGGTGTAAATCATGCTGATTATTTAGATATATTTTCTATGTTACAGAAATACAATGGAGAAATTGCCAGTCTGTGTCCAATCTGATCAAAATTAGGGCAAGACTGGCATTTTAATCTTTTTCAGAAAACTCAGTGCTTCTGTTTTATTGTCAGTCAAATCTGCATTGGTAGTGTTTATCTACTGATTGTATTCTTTGCATGAGGATTATGGGTACCTAAATATTTAAAGGGAAAATGCTCGTCTTTGAGCTGTGAGATTAATTGCTTCATTGTTATTTTTAACAGATCTACTTTAGAAGTGTCCATCCGAAGTTTCCTGATGGAGGGAAGATGTCTCAATACTTAGACAGCCTGAAAATAGGGGATACTATTGACTTCAGAGGACCAAGTGGCCTACTTGTCTACAAAGGAAAAGGCAAGACTGACTCGGAAGATATAGTTTATCCAGAGTAAACAATACAGAAAAAAACATCATATAGTAGTAGTAACACTGGTCACAGTTTTTTCTGGCTGGGTTCAAGTTTTTATAGAATCATAGTATCATAGAATCGTAGAAGATTTTGGGTTGGAAGGAACCTTTAAAGGTCATCTAGTCCAACCCCCCTGCAATGAGCAGGGGCATCTTCAACTAGATCAGGTTGCTCAGAGCCCCGTCCAACCTGACCTTGAGTGTTTCCAGGGATGGGGCATCTACAGCCTCCCTGGGCAACCTGTTCCAGTGTTTCACCACCCTCATCACAAAAATTTTCTTCCTTATATCTAGTCTAAATCTACCTTCTTTTAGTTTAAAAGCATTACCCCTTGTCATGTTGCTACAGGCCCTGCTAAAAAGTCTGTCCCCATCTTTCCTAAAAGCCCCCTTTAAGTACTGAAAGGCAGCAGTAAGGTCTCCCTGGAGCCTTCTCTTCTCCAGACTGAACAACCCCAACTCTCTCAGCCTGTCTTCATAAGAGAGGTGCTCCAGCCCTCTGGTCATTTTTGTGGCCCTCCTCTGGACCCGCTCCAACAGGTCCATGTCTTTCCTGTGCTGAGGACTCCAGAGCTGGATGCAGTACTCCAGGTGGGCTCTCACCAGAGTGGAGCAGAGGGGCAGAAAGTCTGTGGCTACATTTTGATTACACATACTGCATAAACCGAACCTTAGCTATCACCTCTATTTATTATTTGGGCTGATACTCTCGGTATACTCGTGCTCTCCCAATAGACATGGGGATTCTTTTCTGTTGTTAGCATCTCTGCACAAAAGAAACTTCTAGTGTCTTAATTAAGTCAACAGCCATCTTGAGGGGGATTGTTATGTGACTATCGAAGTGCTTGTTATTGATACTAATCTCAAGGAAGGGAATTCGCTCCCTGCTTATATGGCCACAGTTTATACACTGATAAAAACACTTGGTATATGTGCTGTGCAATGCTAATTTCCCAAGTGAAGATGAATGTTATCAGTAGGAAGTACTTTTATGCCAATATAAAATATCTCACTTTGGCATAGTGCAGCCACAAATGTGTCACAAAAGCCTTCTGGCAGTTTTGTGAGCAGCAGAACTCAGAGATGTGGTTTTCCAGAGCTTTGTATATTGTGTTCATGTTATCCTGGATGAAGAGAGGTGTGAATACAACAAATACATCATTCTGGGCAATTTCAAACTCTGTGAGATTTGGCTGAAGCTGGCAAATCAGCTCAAAAAGAGGAGATAAATATACAAAAAAAATACACCCTGCGTATTTCAGGTTTTCCCTTAAAATAATCTACATGGGGTGAAAAAACTCCCTGAGCAGATTAATTCCTTTGTGTAGAACTGTTTCCAGAATCTGGGCTTCTGAATATCACTGGGGGTACGGGACATGAGCAAATAGAAGTACAGGTAGTGATGGCTTGATGCTGTAGTCAGGAGTAAGCAATAACCCATGTCAGTGTCGGCTGTTATCATCACGTGTCTTACAGTCTCTAACCATGTTCCAGGATTTGTTTTAATTTGTGACTTCTTCACCTTTGTCTCATTTCCTGCTCCTGCTTTACGGAGAGGGAAGTGTGACAGAGCTGGAACAAAGTCAATTAGCTGAATGGGCTGGGAAGGGACCACAGGCGCTGTTTCCTGCTTTCTTCAATGTTTTCCATCAATCTCTCTCTCTCTCCCCCCCGCTCCCCATCCTCTCTCTCTCCAGGCGAGTTTGCTATTCGGCCTGAAAAGAAAGCTGAACCGGTTACTAAGAAAGTGAAATATGTGGGGATGATTGCAGGTGGGACTGGTATGTATATATAAAGATTAATCCTTGGTTTCTGACAGCTGGTAGATGTATTTGTTCATATTTTCTCTCATGTGCTCACTCGTGCTTTCTTTTGCTCCTTCACATTCTCGCATCATTGACCTGCCTTTCTCTTTCAGGGATAACACCTATGCTGCAGATCATTAAAGCAATCATAAATGACAAAGATGACCCTACCATTTGTCAGCTGCTGTTTGCTAATCAGGTAATTCTGTCCTTTTTTCTTTTTATAAAGTTTTAGTTAACTAACAGAACTCCACTTGGGCAAATTATATTCTTGCTGAGAAAGCCTGGTACAGAAATACAAACTCTGAGGGGAAAAGTGAACTGAGATGTTGAAAACTTCCCATAGAAAAGCACTATAATGAATTGTTTTTTAAATGTTACTACAGAAATACTGCTCCCCTCCCAGCTAATGCTCGCTTTCCTGTGTCTTATTGCTCTGTTTCTAATCCAGTTTATAAATGTTTTAAAACTCTACATTCCTTTGTGGAAGTTGTTACTGTTTTGGGCAGACTTTCAAAGCTGTCTCTCTTTGTGGAAACATCAAGGAGGTGGACATGTGTCTCCTTCAGCGATTGTAACTCCCCAACTTTGCAGCAGGGTTTGTATGTGGAATCTTTCTGTTTGAGAACACCTTAGGTGAGGCTAAAATTAACAGTGGTCTCCAGCAGCTCCCTTGGCTATGGAGCTGTGATTCTGCATGGCTGTCTCCTTTCATTTCCATTTCCTCTGTCAGTTCTTTGTGCGTTTCTATTGCTCTTTGAGTTGTATCATACTGCCATGCTGGACAAAGGGAAGATCTCTTATCCATGGAATCCTTGCGAGAGATTTCTTGGATGACCAGGCAACCCAAATGGTGTTGTGCTGCTGAACTGCAATGCCCCTTCTTCGCCTGATGTTCTTCTAGCGCTAATCCTTTTGCTTTTAAATTTCTCCATCAACATAAGTATTTGTTTCTGGATTATGAGCCATTGTTTGTGGTGAACCTCACTTCATGCCTGTGTTTTTTAGCTTCTTTAGGCTCTCCTCTGTCATTCCTTTCTCCTCTGATACTCAGTGTGTCCTCGTTTTTTGTACCATATCTGAATTACAAACCAAGATTTTTCTACCCAGAAGCTACGATCCAAGTGCCAACAGATGCCCTGTTCTGATGCTTTATTCCAGTAAGACCTCCTCAAGAGCCCTGCTGGTGCCCTCTGGTGCTGGCTGGTGCGGCTGCAGCAGCTGGTCTCTGCTGAGCCCTAGGAGCTGGCATAAAGTGCAGTCGGGATCAGGGCAAAAGGGCCAGGATTTGCTATGAGTAATTCAGAATGACTACTACAGGGATAGAGCTGCTGCTTTAGCAACCTAGAAAACCTACTGCTTCTTGCAGGGAGGACTTGGGGAACAGTTGCCTGTGTATTAGCAACAGCCTGTGTAAACAAACATCAATCCTTGGCTTTGAAGAGTCCTCGTACCCAGTAACTGCACAAATATAAAGCAGCCTCGTGACAAATGGTCAGTCAGGAAAGCCTGCAGACTAGATGTTTTTTAATACTGAATATTTAGATTTTTTTTTTTTAATACGTGTTTTGCTGATCTTTTATTTTGGCCTTCCTGAAAGAGCTGTGTTGGATTACAGATGACAATGTACGTGGGCTCATACTGTGCTTCTGACTAGCATGCTTTGAGTTGGTCAGACCCCGTAATAGCTTTTCTGGAACACACGTAACTGCAGATCCAGAAATAGGCACCTTCTCGGCAATAGTTGCTGGCACATTCCTCCTTTCCCCCACAGTTACAGACATAGTGGTGTCCTCAGTGCTGAATTATTAAGGTGGCAGAGGATGGTACCACTTTTAGTCTCTACCCTTTTCCCTCCTTCCCAAACTGCAGCTGCTGTTACAGGAATAAGGCTTTCTTTTGGCCTTCAATTATGTTGCATCAGGGAGGAGCAGAACTTGATACCCTGGGTAATATTTGTTGTTCCAATCACAACTTGATACCCTTTTGGTTATTTGTTCCACATCCTGTTTAAAAAAACCAAGAAATCTCTGTGTGGCGGTGCTGATGAAATTTGAAGTGGCAAAGGTGAAAAACCTGGCATTTTCCTGACTGAATGGCACAGTATGGAGGGGTAGGGAGATACCTGTGTGCAGTCATGGTTATTTTTTGATGAAAGTTTTTTCTGTAATAGGAGTGCTAAAAGAGGGTTTTACTCTCCTGATTCTACCACTACTTCTCTGAACAAGAAAGTTCTGTGTTTTGATACAGGTTTTGCTTTGTTTTATTTTTTAGAGGGAAGGCATTGCATGGTCAGGATTTGGGAAAGTTATGAATCCTTTTATTAGCTCTGCCACAGGATAGTCATGAAATAACTTGTGTTTGCTCTCTTCAGCCTGTAAAATAGAGTTGAATAATCCGTTCATTTCATAGGTCTGTAGAGTAGCTAATGCTCTGTAGTCATCTGAGGGCTGTACTCAAATGCAGAGCGTAATCGTTGTTTTCCTTACCCTGCAGACGGAGAAGGATATCCTGTTACGTTCTGACCTAGAGGAGATCCAGATTCAGAATCCTGGTCGCTTTAAGTGTTGGTACACACTGGACAGAGCACCTGAAAGTAAGATCTAACATGCTAGTTCCACTGAAGCTTAAGTTATGAGTATAATGCATGTGTTTGACAGGAGACATGCTATGTCTTGTTCATATTTCTGAGCTCCTTTCTTGCTTAATGAATTGTGTCTGAATGCATCCAGTAGCATCACTCTTCACACAGTGATGCACAGAAACTCCTAGATGTAATCAGGCAGTGTTTGCAATGCTACAAAGCTCACCTCAGGTGAATGGCAGTGCAGTGTTCCTTCCATGACTACACCTGAATATTTACCATTATTTACTCTGGAAGGTGACTTTCCTTCTTCCCCACAGACATAAATATAACGTGCTATCTTACTGTCTTGTGTTTAGAGCATGCATTAAGGCAGCTGCAGTGGGAGTGTCAGAGGCACTGTTACCTCACGGAGATGCGGCCAAGTGCAGACACCTACCTAGCTGTCACTGTATGGCAGTTATGGTAGCTGATCTCCTTCCTAGGCAATGGAATTGGCTTTGTATTAACAGTGTTTCTCAATGAAAATACTGTTCCAGCTTGGTGCAGTCCAGTTTTAAAGATAATGTGATACAGTTGGCTGGTCTAGGTGAGAGGATGAACCAGCTGAATGTGCTTCCCTCAGCTGTACAAGTTTGAGGAAGAAAAGGCTAAATAGTTACTGCTGTTGTGAAAAGGTTCAATAGATTCTGTGTCATTCCTTGTCGTTTCCTTTCTTACCATTCCTCATCACACCCACCCACATCAGGCTAGATTCATACTCCTATTCACTGGTAGTTTGGGGCAGAGGAGGAAAAACTATATACCTTCTCCTACCTTGTGACCAAGAATACACCTCTGGTAGGGTGGGGGGAAGGGTCTTGCTGTCCCCACAGTCTGTTGCTGTCATGTCATCTTCTGCAATTAGTGTTTTGGAATTTCTAATCACTCTTCCTTTTCTTTGATATATATGAATTGTGAACTGATCTTAGCAGTTGCCATAAAAGTTCCTCCTTAGACCCGCTCAATGCTGTTCTGCAGACTTTCACTACCCTATGTCAAACCAGACCAAACCTGGAAATTTTTGGATAATCTGTGGGAGAAAAATGTGTCAGTCTTACTGTGTCCAAAGGTTTGGGTTGGCAGCTTTTTGCATCCAGGGCTGGAGATGTGATGGGTAAACCTGAATCCTAGTATTAACTGATTAGCACCGTGAGTGTTCCAACCAGGAACAACTTCACCAGCTAGATTTCCCCTAGTGAACTTGTAAACAGTGGGGTAGGGAGGATGGATGTTGTTATTACACAGTGCTGGAGCTGAAGAGTTTCACCTTCTGTTCACAGCTCTGCTTGAGATTTCCTTGGTGCTTTTAGCAAGCTTTATTAAAAGTTAGCCCTTGTTTTCTCCATACATCAGTTTTGCATCTTAAAAGCAGAGGTGACGGTTTTTCCATGTAGCATAACTGTGTTGGGGACACTAATGTGAGTGGAATGTACAAATGCTACACTCCAGAATGTTACAAAAAAACCCCAGACCCCCACACTTCATTCTAAAGTGACTTGTATCTATCTTTTCCTCCTTTTTCCTTCGTTCCCCTTCCCCTACTTTCATTTTTTTTTTTACAGATTGGGACTACAGCCAAGGATTTGTGAACCAAGAGATGATCAGAGACCACCTGCCCCCACCTCAAAACGATGTTCTGATCCTCATGTGTGGACCTCCTCCGATGATCCAGTATGCTTGCATTCCCAATCTGGACAAACTGGGCTACACCAAGGACATGAGGTTCTCCTTCTAAAGAAGACTGATAATTCACTGATCTTGTGTAGAAGGGAAGAAAAAACATTTAATGGGGAACAGGACAAAGCTACAGACATGGCTGATGCACAGTGCTGGGAAGCTACATTTACATTAAAAAATGCTTCATTTTTTCTGAATCTCTGGCAAGTAAGACACTTAAGCTCAACTGTACTAAAACTGTACTGTATGTTGCACAGAAACAACTGTATTGTGGAATGGTAGTCATGCCTAGTGCTTGGCTATATTGTATACTGTCTCAAGGGAGGACAGTATAGCTGCTTAGGGCAGTAAACACTCATTTACACTTTTTCTTAGCACTGTAATCAAATGGCAGTAATATCCTACTTCCTAGCACTGTGCATACCCAGTATTTCATGGTATGAAGTATGAAAATATATGGAATTTGCTGGATTATTCATGTTGCTTACGCCAAATTTTAATACTTACAGAGCTTTTACAGTATGAGGGCCAGGAGTGTTTGCCTTGTATGCATAATCTTTGCAACATCAGAAGCTTAAAGAAGATGCTTGTTCAGTTGAAGGGTGACAGTTAACCATTTATGACTGAAGTTGTTCAAGCTGCCTTGTTAATCAAAACAGAGAGGTAGACAGCAGCACAAAATTTGTTTGCTTTGTATTTGGGCATAGCCTCTCAAATGCAAACACTTTTCCAGCTGGTCACAGTTTTCATCCCTGGGCAATGAAAGAAGCTACAGAAAGCAAGCAGCTTTGTGCACTGTTCCACAAATAGCTGGAATTTTTTGCTTGTATGTGTGTGGAATACTGAAAAAAAAAAAATACTAACTTTTGCATTTACTTTTGAATAGTGGATGGTGCCATAGGAGTACAAAAGCATGTGTTCTGCATGTCCTGTGCAGTGAAAAAAAAATGCTGGGTGAAAATTGGATCTAGTTTTAGTTTCTTGTTTCCCAGAGATGGATTTGGAACAAAGGGAGCTCAGGTTTCATTGGCAGGGTGGGTTTCAGCAGGTAGCCCAGCTTGGGATGCGGTATGTATACAGTCGGGGGACCCGCCTGTGTGTCTTGCTCAGGCAAATCTCCAAAGGGTTTTGCTTGCTAAGGATGCATGGGAACAGCCTTAAGAAGTCACCAAACTGACAGCAAATTCAGATGTTTCACTGAATCTAAAACTGTTTCTTAGATGCTGTTTATTATAGCTCTGATTTTTATTTTTTTAATACACTTTTTTTACAGCAGCCTTTAGTAAACTTAAGGCATCTTGCATGCCAAACCTTCTGCTTCTGAACAGCAGAGATGCTGCTGAGATCGGAGCTGTCCTGCAAGGAATCTATAAAACTAAAAATCTTGCTCTGGTGATGAAATCAGAGTGACCGAAAGGATGTTTAGTCATGTATGAAGTAATGTGGATGCTAGTTAGCTACAAGTGTCAGTGTATAATACCACTTTTTTAAAGATTCGGGTAGGTATCTGAGGTTATAGCTTCCCATGTTTTCTCTTGTGTTTGTACAGCAGATGGGTACTGTGCACTTAAAAGGTTAATTTTTCAGCATGAATTAAAAGGAGAAAAAGATAGTACAGTTAATTTAAGGAACCTCAAATGGATACTACTGTTATTAATTTTATTAATTAGATGCTTGCCTCTGAAGTCTTGAATTTTTGATGTGCGCTGCTGAAACTTGTTCTTTAATACTATGCTCCAAAGTTCAATTACTCCTCAAGTAAGTTTCAGTCCCTTTTTTAGGAGGCAAAAAGCAGAAATATGAGAGAAATTATCTTGCTGCTGGTTTATATCACTGTGGGATACACATAAATTTTTTTCATTATAGTATTTAATAAAGTTTTCTTGTAAAAAATAACTCTAGCTGGTTACTCATCAACTATTTTGTATTACTTACTCTGCTTATTCAATTACTGGCTTTTTTCATATCTGTGTAAGAAATAAAGTATCTTGCAGGTGAATCACCTGTGTGTTACTGAGCAGAACATCATCTTAAACCTCATAAGAGACAGACTGTAATTGTAAAACACTCTACAAAGTGAAGGCTCAAAAAAAAGAGAAAGCATTAGATTTGTTTACCCAAGTGCTTATCTCTTTCTTTTGTTTGAGTTTGGTGAAAACTGTTGTATTTGGTGCTGAGTCAAGGAGTAAACTGTCTTTATCCCTGTCACTCCAGTCTCCTCTTTTTACCTTTATTTTGTACATCATCTTCCTTGTGACCATGAGGCCATTTTAATAAATAAAAAGAGGGATTTTATATAATCTGCTGAAACAAAACTGTGTCACAGTCCCTTTGGCTTAATGGTCCTGTACTCTAGCATTTAAACAAGTCAGCGTTCAAGTTGTTTTTATTTTATTTTTTTTCCTTTGAGCCAATTCATCTGTCTGTCTTCTTACAGAAAATATGAGTATTCTGCCACTTTTCTGGCAGGATGTGCTGAGTACTACTAGCCTCCATGTTATAAAGCAGCTGGGGAAACATGAATGTCCTGCATGAAAGGTATTTCCTGAGAGAAACAGGATTGAAAGGGCTGCTGCAGCTTCAGCTTTACCAGAGGAAGGTTGCCTCCACTTACTTACCGCTGTGCAAAGGCAGGTATCCCCATGCCACAAATAGCAAAGGTGTGCTTGCATATGGCAGGAAGGAGGTGAGATGTGAGCTGGTCCTTAATCTATCTTACTCTCGTAGCTGGGTCTTGAGCCTGTGCTTCTTGGGGTGCTGCAGCAGTCCCAGCTGTGCGTCTGCTGGTCTGTGCTGGTGTTGGCCCTGTCCCAGCCACAGGGGCCAGTGCTGTGAGCAGATCTTGGTTCTGGGCTGCATGTGGTGAACTGGCTGCTTGCCCAAAGCAAGTCCTCACCTGTCCTGCTTCCCAGCTGCCTGTATGACTGGGGGGGCTCTGCTTTAATCTTTCAAGGCACTGTATGACAGGTGAGGAAGTACATACTGCCTTAGGGGTTTAATAGTGTTCTCCAAAAGTTTCTGATAAAAATAACTTGGTTTACAGGAAGGAGCCTCATATTGTTCCTGAGCTTTTCTCTTCTTGATCCTGCAGCAGCCAGGCTCTCCCTTGCGTTTGTTAACTTCTTAGACACATGCGTCAGGTGTGAGTGGGGGAAGAGCAGGACAGGATTGGAGCAGCAGGGATCTTTTCTTGCTTGAACAGCCTAACAGGTGAGCAGTAGCTTTTGCTTAATGCCTCTGGGGATTGTGCCCTGCCTGCCACCCCACTCCGCAGTTTGAATTAACAGAACAGGGCCCTGTTTTTAAACAGATCTACCACAGTCAGCATGCAGCATTCCCAGCGCATCAAACACAAGATACCTGCATCAGGCTGTTCTCCTCTGGCCTAAGCCTGGCTCCCAGCAATGCGCGTTAAGAGCATACACAGGCAGCTAGTTGCAGCAAATTCCTGCAAGTACATGGCGTCTAATCAAATCATCTCTGTTGCAACTGGTCGCTTGTGGTGGATGCTATCAAGCAGCATCCCGTGTTGAGCTAACCATAGAACAAGAGTCCTTGCAGCAGTGGAAGGGAAATGTCTGTAGAGCAGGGAGTGGGAGACAGAAAAGAAAGAGGGGGTGCATTGGTGATGGATCACCCAGGGAGGAAGGGCAGGAGAGGGGTCACGGGGTGGCTGAGGGATGGGACAGCCACAGATGAAGGCCCCTGCCAGGCAGTGTCTATGTAGCATACAGCTTGGGGTACACAGACCATGCTGCCACTTCTGCAACAGGGGAGCAGAAATGGTGGGGGGTGATGCCAGACACCTGCCTGGAGTAATTAAGGACTGGCCCAGGTCATCTCTGCTTAAGTCAGAAGCACCTGGTGGACCCAGGTGGGGTGGATACCTGTATCCTGTGATAAGCTAATGCTTCTTACATTAAAGTTTCTTTAAAAAGGGTGGGGTAAGGTATTGTGCTTTTTTTTTCTTGTTAGGAAGACCTACCTGGCTAAGCAAACCAGCCAACAGCAGCTGTGCTGCATGTTTCCTCTTCTGAGAGCCTTTCTTCACCGAGCTATGCTTCCGTGAGCTCTCGAGCTCAACTACACTATAAACTGTACAAATTGTAATAACGTATACATTAGCAAATGGTGTCCAAAGCAAAAAAAAAAAACCAACCAACCAACCCAACCTCTTCACTTTGCTTTTACTAACCTTAATTACCATGGGATTAAACTGTCTGCGGTCAGCACCTTACCTGGTAAATCAGTATGTGGAGTTACAGAAGGTTGTGGTATGGCTGTGAGTCACCTGAGCTGAGACTCCAGCTTGGCTGAATAAATGAACATGGTCAAATTTACATTGCTAAATACTTTGTTGTGCATCTGCACCATTACTAGCCCTAGCACAAAGCCTTGGCCAGTTCCCACCGTTGCTGAGGGCTGGGGCTCCTGAGCTAAACTCACAGGCAGAGTCCGGCGCAGCCTGGGCGATATACCCTGGCTCCCAGAATAAACACCAAGCCTGCGTGACATCTCTGAGGTACCAGAGCCACTCTGGAGAACACAAATCAAACTGGCAACTGCCCCAATGTGTAACTTCCATAGTTCCAACTCCATATAGTCAAGACATTTTGATTTTCCCCTTTCCAACACTGAAAAAGCATGCATAACATCCAAAGGAGAAAGCCCAACCAGTTTTCAGAGACAGCATTCCTACAGACCTGAATAGCTTAAGAGACACACACTAGTTATAAGATACCAATTTAATGCAAAATTAAAGCTTTTCTGCTGATCTTTTATAAACCAATCAATCCTGCTGCAGTATTGGTTATGCTGTAACTTTAAACAGGGGGAAAAAAAAAAAAAAACCAACCTTCCCGAACAGTTGTAGAGTCCTCATGCTCTGCACTATCGCCATAACTGTGTGTATTTTCTATGTAAACCGCCAGAACTATCCCCTCAAACCCCTGCTACCCACAAAAAAATACAATGACACTAGCTCTTTAAAAACAACTGTATCTCAATGAACTATTTAAAAACTAAAAGGCCTCCCTTCTCCATACCCATCTACATTTGTGATTCGGCAAAAATGTCACAGTTCTCTGTATGTTTTTATTTCAGTTCACCTTTCAGCCTCCATGCCTATGCCATGGAAAAGCTGCGAACAATTCTGGCACTGATGCTGCAGCTTCTTTATGTCCTTTTTCAATGGCTGTGTAAAGAACAGCCTTTATTTCTCAGCTGTTGCAGCTGCCCCATCTTATAACTCAAATAAATAAATAATAAATAGTAAAATATGCATGAGCTTTTGAAATTATTTTTATTCTGTTAAATAAAGTGAATAAAATTACAAGAAAACTACAGGTAGAGCAGGTTTGCACTGACAAAACTATTCTGATGATAGCTATGAACAAAAAGTGAGTTTACCAGTTTGAAAACTGATCAGGTCTTCTTTCACTGGTTAACAGTGGCTGAAAGCAAGTAATAACAATTGCGCAACCCAAAAGTCTGACTTTGTCCACTGAAAGCTGGCGGAAATGAAATAAATTAGTCCATAAACGCAATCAGCTGCTAAGCTACTGAAAGCAAATTCAAAATTAAATAATTCTGCCTCCTCCAGACTTTTGCTCTCTGCTACCAGTGGTCAGGAGCTGCCCCGGCTGCCATGAAAAGCACAAACCCACCAGCATCTCCAGTGCCAGGTTTTTGTCTCCTTGGTTGATTTTCCCCCCAAGTTTTCTTTAACACCTGCCACTACCTTTTGCCACACAATGACCTGAGACAGCCACTCAGCAACAACAGGCTTTGCAGCTGGGACCAACCCTACCCCTGCCTTTTGGGCACAGCTCCAAGGCCCTCCGTAGCCTGGCACTGATCTACTTTTAAGGAGCATGTAATTAATAGGTTTCTCATATAGCCCATTTCTATCACGGGGAAGCGCTTTTCCTCTTAGTTGGGAACCAGCTCACTCCTCCAAACCAGCGTTTTTAAGCCTTAGTAGTGTCCTTCACGCTAGTGCAAATCTTCTGACCAGCACCAGTACATTTTCTTTATTACAGACTCAACCTCCTACTGCAGAAAAAAAAATCTGCCACACAGTAAACAAAGGCTGTGAGTCAAATCTACCATGGCCTCCCCAAAGGCTCAGGGTGACAAAGCTTTCATCAGCTCTGGCCAAGACTTAATGTCTGGCGAACAAAATGTTCTGGAAAAATGACATGCCTTCTATAAACACATTTTTCTGGCAGGTACATCCTGTTGTTTTAAAACCTGGAGAGACTGACTCAGCCTGGCTTCTGCAGGAGCTAAGGGAATGTGATGGGTGGAGGGGAAGGTGGGAAATAAGGGGGTGGAGGGAACGGCATGCAAGAAAAGCGAGAGAGGCAGAGCTGAGCCCCACGCAGCCTCTGGTGCTGGCATGCAGAGAGCCACTGCTGTTAACCAGTGGCTTACAGAAAGTTTATGTACACATTGCCCACCTCTTTCGGTCCATTTTTTGCACCGAGGCAGTTTTCCAGCATGTCTTTTGTGGGCAGGAAGCTGTCAGTACTGGTGACAAATTGCTGTAGCGCATCCCTGCCCAACAGGCAGCATTTTTGCTCCTCCTTGGCAATGCTGTCTAGCATGACTCCTCGGATGGCCTTGGGCTTCCCTGGCACACCGAACATGATGAACAAGCCCAGGCAGTCCCGTCCCACCAAGCGGCAGAACTCCGCCAGCTTCTCAAACCTGCTCCTGTTTTGGAAGCACTCGTCTGCCAGCACGGCTTCCCGGCAGCAGTCCTCCACCGCCTCAGCGGGGCCGCCGTCGCTGCAGGAGAGCTCAGCCAGCTGTAAAGCCTGCACAGCGATCTGGAGCTTGATTTGCTTGTCAGCCCCAGACAGAGTCCAAACCCAGTCCACCCCGAACAGGGAGGACTGCTGCTTGGTCATTTTGCTGGTCGCGATACGTTCCTCCACTCCCTTTTCCACGCAGAAGCTGATGAAGTTGACCAAAAAGATCTCGCTCAGTGTGTTTGTGGCTGGCTGGAATTTGCTCTGAGGATCCACAAACCCAAGATAGTCCTTCAGCCTTTGAGATGCATGGACCACACCTTGGCTGAAGACTTCGCAGATGACCAGAGTTTGAGCCTTGTTCTCTTGGTCATCCTCGTGTGAGACCTTCTGGCCCATTTTCTGTGCAGGAGGAGGTCGTTTCCACATGCAGACTGCCTCGGGGAAGTCCCTTCCTTTTCCAGCGAAGGCTTTGTAGGTGCTGGGCTCAGCCAGACCTATTAAACATGCACATGGTTACCTGTTGCCTTCCAGATGAAGGTCATGGCAGCAGTAGAGATGAGCTCTTGGAGCAAGCTGCCGTCCGGCAGGGCAGACGGCTTTCTCCTGGGTGTGTTTCTCCACAGCTGACTGAGCAGCAACCAGCGCAACAGGCCCAGTAACTTTCACACCTACTGAATTCATCTGGGCTTGTTTTCCTTATTGTTAATTCTGGCACCATTGCTTTAGCTGATGCTATCTCATTCCAGTCTGATCTTATCTCCTTTGATCTCCTTTCTAGGACTATTACAGAGAAGCCATTTGATTGGCGCTGGGTGTTTCCTGGAGATGAAACCACCTTTTTCTTTTAATCACCCAGAGAAGGGTGCTGCTGCTGCTGTCAGTGGCATTAGTTGTGCCACGGCAATGCACACGGAATCAGTTGGACTTCTGGCTCGACGGAGAAGCTTGTGCTGTTGCTGCTTTTAACTGGGTTGTCTCAGGGAAGCTCGGACAGTCAACGCACCACCATCCACAACCATCAAACACAGCTACAAATAAACAAGCTTCCTAATCTCACAAAATCCCGTCTCCCTAGCTGTGAAAGCGGGAACATATATTACCACTACAGCAGAAGCCAGCCCCGTTCAGCTCTGGATGTTGCTGGTGCCAAAATGCACCGCTACAGTCTCTTCATTGGCCTGGGATCCCACCCCCATTCTTAAGAAACAGGCTCTGTCCTGCTGAAAGCTGCTCTTCCTCCTCCCCTTCATTCTGAATGAGTGAAAAAAGCATCGAGGATATGTCTTTCTCTGCCCTCTTTACTCTCATTGCTCGAAACATCATTTGATATCTCTTTCCTTCTGTCTACAGCTGTTCTTGTACTCCTGCCAACCCAGAGAAACACCTTCTCAGGTGCACAGGCTGGTCAGTCCCACTGCTGCCCTTGGGTCCCTCTCTCTAAGGAACAGATCATGGCCTACATATTACGTGTCTTCTTCCACAGGTCTTCAAATGTGTCATGGGCCCATCTCCGTTCCTTCAGGACCTTCTCACAGCTATGATGAGGGAGCACGCTGCTGCTTCTCCTGTTCTCTCTCACTGTAACCCTAATTTCCTTTCTATTCAAGGGTTCCCCAGCACCTAATACTCTCTCCTTGCTGACGACTGCTCCAAATCTACTGGTAACTCAGATGATTTTGCTTCTTAGCTGCCTCAAAGAGCACCATCTTCTTCCTCCCAACTGTGGATAAAGAGGCTCAGTAGGAAAAGCTCTTGCTGCAAATGAAAATGCCAAAATACTAAAGTGAAGCATAAAGTATGCACTAAACATTCGTAAACAACAAAGTGGTGCAAGATATAAAAAGCATGCAGGTAGGGTAAGTGCAACTTCTCCCCTGAAGGGAAAGCCAGGATGCAACAATACCTGGTGGATGGGAATCAGAAGAGTCATTCCAGAAGTTATTCTGGATTACTTCTCCATTTCTAAGCATACATGTAATTTAAGCAAACTGAAAAAAGCTGGGTTTAATCTCCATAGGCTCTTGATCAATACACATCTATCTCTTCCTCATCACTGTAAATAAACAGACAACAGAAGTTTATCATACTCTAGGTTTCAAGGTGCTTATCCTCAGCGTTCCCACTGAAATGCTGAGCTGATGAACAAAACCACAGAAATGAAGGTCACAATAGGGGTTCTGCATTTTCTGGTCCCTTACCTGGGCTACGCCAGGCAAAACACTGATCATCATTTGTACCTGCACCCCAGCAACAAAATGCAGTTTGGGGAAGCTCAACTCCTGCTGGCAAAGTAGCTGGACCTCCTACAACTGCTGAGGGCTGCAAGGGCACGGGGAGGGGAATGACACCTGGGACCAGAGAGACCACTGCCCTGCACAGCAAGAAGGGCCAGAGCTGGTCCTTCCTTCAGCACCCTGCGAGGACTCCCTGAAGAGCACACACCGAGCAATGGGGAAGTGCTTTCTCATCACACCATACCAAACAACCCAAGATGGTTCAAATCTGGATCCCAGAAATATGTAAAAAGACTTGGGGTAGTTGATTTCTTAGCTGTTACCCGAGTCCTTCTGCAGGCACTATCGACAAACAAATTAATGAGTCCACAAAGAATTCTCCCTCCTTTGCCTTTTAAATAGAACAAAATGAGATTCCTAGGAAAATAAAAAGGAAGAAAGAGGATAAATTAAAAAAGAACCAGCTTCCAGAAACACTTGGCATTTTCCACAGACTTTATTGGATTTTACATGGCAATACACAGTAGTTAAGTTGCCCTCTTCAAACACGCACAAAATAAAATACCCCAACGGTATCAATTGTGTGCACCTATGCTCATGAACTTCCTGACTTTATCACTTACTTTCATATCCCACCCCCATAAAATAACCAAGGTTCAGATGATAAGCAGCTTCGAGGGGATGACCTGGCTTCCAACCACTGAATGCAGGAAAGGGTTGTTTGGAGCACAATGCTACTTACACCGGACTTAAATAAACCATCATCTGCCATTGTTGATATGCTTGCTAATAGCACTGGCCTGAAGAGAAATCGGAGAGTATTTTTTTGTGCCTATTTCAGCACATAATATTGTATCACTAGCCCTCCTTTCTTCCCCCTGTGAATATCCCATCATGTTCACTAGCCAGCACCTAGTGAGAGCTAATCTGGAGGAATAATTTTGCTCAGAAGCCTGCACCACATCTTCCCAGTACTTCTGCAGTATTTGGGAGAGCAGGGCCTTAAGCTCAACCTACGTGTAAATAATAACTGTATTGCAGAGTATTCACAGAAAGCAAGCCCTGAATTCACATCCCAAGCATCTGCACCCTAAAGCTGACAAGCAGGCATTATACAATGTAGTATTTCTGCCCAAATAAAATAGCTCAAACACCCCCAAGACTGCAGAGGAAGAAACGACAGAAAGCAAATTATTTGCAGACAGGAATTAGTCAGGAATATTGAATAAAGCACCAGTTGTGATCTGTTTGTAGACAAAATGGTAAGCAGCGCAAACCACACATTATGGATTGTTTGCCTGGCTCCAGTTACCAAAGAGAAAATGGCAGAGCTTCACGTTATGTGTAACACAACCAGTCCACATCATATTTTTCATCTTGGTACATAAATAATAGTCTACACTGCACATCCTTCAAAGAACCAGGCTGGTAATAGCTTATCAGGTTACAATAATATAATGCTGGAATATGTCTCCAATCTACCCCAACATCTGATGGGAGCTCCCTGGAAGACCCTGAAAGAACCTTTCTTCCTTTCCTAGCTTTGTTAATAGTGTTTCAGAAATACCCACAAAGTCAATGCAAATCTACCATCCCTTGCACCATGCCAGCAATGTGTTCAAAACGGTCTCACTTCCAGCAAGGAGAGCAATGAAACGAGTGACAAACACTTGGTGAAGCAACACACCACCACAAGGAACAATTCCAGCTGTACTTTTTTTGCCTTTACAAAGCAAAGAAGCTTCATGCCATTGTGCTAAAATACATGCAACGTTCAACACCATACGAATGACCACTGTAATAAACAGAGTTACTTTTTTTTGTTTGCATTTGGCTAGTACACCTTGCAATACCAAAAGTCTGACAAAAGGTTTCCACTGGCTAGTTAGGATTTTTAAAATCTGATGATCTTCAAAAGCAGAGGAGCTGTGCTTTAAGAAAGTAAAATGATGAGCAACATGTTTGATACTTGAATTTTGGAGGAAAAGTCCCACCTTAGGTTTAATATTATGAAATAATATATTTCCTATACATTTCTCTATATAACTTTATTTTTTTTGCAACTACACCATCTTTACATCAGTCACAGCACAGAAATATCCCTTCCATATGCAGGGAGTACTCTCAACTTTAAGGAAATTTTTTAAATCACAGAAGTGTTAATAACCTTGTTTGAATGCTATAACTACTGCTGCTGGGAACAAGAAAGAAGACATTTTAAAATGTGCAGTTTCCGTGCAAGTCACTGCTAGAAGAAACATGCTTTATAATTGTTTCATCCCAAATGGAAGATCATTAAACTGTGCACTTTGTAAAAAGCACGAAAGCAAACAGTTCCAAAGGTCAGCCTGCCTTTTCCAGTAACCAGCTGGTATGCAAACTGGCATAATTTTTTTTACAACCCTCTCCCCTTCCCCCACACCTCAAACCTTCCATCATTTTACCTCACAAAATTTAAATTTTTGCTTTTATATGTACTTCATATACTTCTTTTTTCTTTTTCTTTTTTTTTTTAAATAAAACAGTATAAAAGAGCAACAGTCAAGAGCTACTGGGGAGTTTATGCAAGGCATGGATGACTAAAATCCTACACTGGATACCGTAGGAAGGGCAGAACTGGTATCTGTGCCGAACAAATGCACTTGAAAAAGAGCAGTCGCATCTTTTTTCAGCTGAGAGTCTAGAGAAAGGTGATGCACGATATCTACAGATGCAATACTTCTACCTAACATCATCTGTTCTTTTGAAACAGTATAAATGATTATCTGAGGCTGTGAATAAGCAAAAGGAGCACTATCATACCACGTAAATTTAAATGCAACACTCAGAAACGTATCACCAGTTTGTACATTAAATATAGTAAAAACAATTACCATTCACCAGTGTCTGGGTGTTTCTTATGGCAACTTTGGAGTAGGCACCTTTTTTTTTTCTCCTTTTTTTTCTAAAAATTCTCCACCCCCCAATGTTACTTCTAACAAACAGAAGCAAGAGCAATGTAATGTACATGATCTGCTGCCCGTCATGTATAATGATGACGTTTCTTGTACATAGGAAAATGAGCCTTTGTCAGCGCCTGGTGGTGACTGTCACACGTTGGAGTCCTCATCTGTTATACTGGTGCTAGGAGAGCGAGTTGCAAAGTCTTTAAACATTTCATCTTCTTTCAGCATGTGCTAGAAAGGAAAGGAGGGAAGAGTCAAGGTTCAGGCCCTCACAACTAAAATCAGGCAGCTGTGATGGTCCAGGCACACCGCCATTGGCCCTGCAGCCACCACGTTGTTCTGCTGAGGACGTTTTTCACCCATGCTGTGGAAAACGAGCTCACTGCTGTCCGCTGGCCCAAACGGCTCGGGGAGCACGGGCTGGGGCTGAGCTTCCACCCACAAAATGTGCCACAACCCTCAGCTGGCAACTCGCCGCCCAAGGGCAAGCCCCCGGCCTGGAGCCGGGTGCCCCACGCTCGGCCCCCCTGGAGGGTGCGGAGCCAGCGAGGAATCGCTGGTGACCGCTGGCCACCACTCCCAGCTGGGGCAACCTCTGCGCCAGGATGGGCGGGCATCTTCCTGAACCGCTGATTTTTCTTTTCCCCTCTGTCCTGTACAAAAACCAAAGGACCTCAGTGGACGCCTAGTTCTGATGAGGCTTCGCTGTTACCCACAATTTGCACAGTATTTTATATGCTCTAGCCCTCAGAGACCGGTGGCGCTTCGCTCTATCCAAAGACTAGGTCCCGCTATGCACTGAAATCGATCAAAGCAATTGCCCCCAAAACTACAAACCTCAGCTGTTTGACAGAGCCAGTAATAGCAAACGAAAGTTGTACTTAGTGTATTTGTATTAAATAGCATCACTGTTTAATACTAGCAACTGCCAAGGGTTTTATACCCATCTTACATAAATAGAGATCTTATTCCACAGACCCCACTTTTAAGCCTTACTGTCAAGTTGTTGATGCCTTCAGAAAATGCTCCTATTTGCCTCACTGTCCCTTCTGAATCTTCCATCTACAAAAGACAGATAATGAATAATGAATCAATAATAAATTCATTGTAAGCCACAACAGAGTGGCAATTAAATGCAGCACATAAGTAACTGCTTGATTACACCTGACGTGGTCAGAGCAAGGGAGGAGCGTGCCCTGTTGGGAGAGGACAGTTATGCCAGAGTAGGTCCTAAAGGCACTGCATTCACAGCTTGAACCTCCTTGGGCCAAGAGACACTTTTGTTAGTAATGCTATGTGACTGCAAGAAGGCAGGACCTTCACAGGCCAAAGCAAAATGAAGGCTTCCCTGGAAAAAGGAAGGTTTTCCATCGAACCTGACAGCACAGTCAAGGACTCCAAACTGCTAGAACTGGCTTACCTGCTCCAGCCTGTCCAAATCATCATCATCATATACTCGGATATCCAGGCCGGGCTTAAAACCCTTCTTCGACCCACTTCCAGATGCCCGCCCCAGCTCCATAGGACACACATACTCTTCCACATCATCTTGCTTCTTCTTCCTCAGGCTCCCAAAATTGCTGAAGGCAAGTTTCTTTGGCTTACGAGTGAGGAGAAAATTTACAAGAAAGAGAATCAGCAAAGGATTAACAGATCTCTCACTCTTGCACTGGTGTTTCAATGATAAAGGGTCAAAACCCCACTTCTCTCCTTAACAAAGATCTTCTGAATAGCTGTATTTCATGATAATTGCATCTGAAAGAACAAGATGTGTGCCCTCATTC